TTTGCAGCTTCGGAAGAAATATGAAACGCAGCCGGATTTTATTACCGAAACAAGTGGCAAATTGCATGATTATCAGTTGGAAGGGGTTAACTGGCTGCGACATTGCTGGTCCCAAGGCACCGATGCAATTCTGGCCGACGAGATGGGCCTCGGGAAAACAATTCAGTCGATGGTGTTTTTGTACTCGCTGGTAAAAGAAGGACACACGCGGGGCCCGTTTCTGGTTCGATCGTTTTCTTATTGTTAACAGCAGTAGTACCCGCAAAAAAAAATTTTTTTTAATGTTTTTCTTTGTGAAAGACAATGCGATATCGATTAAGTATTTTTTGCATGAAACTATAAAATACTCGCCAGTCACAAGTGTTTACAGGTGGCAGCCCCACTGTCAACACTGATCAACTGGGAGCGCGAAGCAGAGTTTTGGTGTCCCGATTTCTACGTCGTCACATATGTTGGTGACAAAGATAGCCGCACTGTTATTCGGTAAACGGTTGTGCAATAGCCCTTCAGACACACGTTTTTTTCGGTATACGCTGCCGAAGTTTGATTTCAGGGAGCACGAGTTTTCATTTATCGAAGGAGCGGTGCGAGGTGGAGTGAAACCATCGCGTATGAAAACTGATCAGGGCATCAAGTTCCATGTCTTGCTCACCTCTTACGAGCTTATCAACATTGATAAGGTGCGTTAGTCGATGGTTTTTCAGTGTGATTTTCACTTTTTCGATTTCCCCGTGTCAGAGATTTAGCGCAGATGTTTGCAGACGATCCTGTCTTCAATTGAATGGGCTGGATTAGTGGTCGACGAGGCGCACCGTTTGAAGAATAACCAGTCGTTGTTTTTCCGTACATTGCGCGATTTCCGAATTAACTATCGTTTGTTGCTTACGGGCACACCATTGCAAAACAACTTGGAAGAGCTCTTCCATCTGCTGAACTTCCTTTCACCTGAAAGATTTTAGTGAGTTCTGCGGTCCTTTCATGGTTTGTTTTCTCTCGAACTGTTGCAGTAACTTCTCTCACGTTCTTGTTTGCAGCGATATGGACTCGTTCACGCATGAATTTGCTGAAATTTCAAAGGAAGATCAGATCCAGAAGCTTCACTCCTTGCTGGGACCGCACATGTTGCGTCGCTTGAAGACTGATGTGCTGTCC